GTCATTTCCTGAATTACGGAACATAACATTTTTATTGATGACTGTAGGTTAGAAATTTTGGCATTGTGAACAGTGTAATACAATCTAGTGCCCTGACAAGAAGCTGAATGAAATACAGATTATACGGTAAAATTGTAATGCATCATTTGCTATTAGTGGACTGGTAATAATTACCAGTTTCAAAGCTGCTTTCCCCCCCAAATAATCTTTACTCTCTGCTGTAACAGCCTTTCTCATTGACATTATGATTATACCAGCTGCCCTTCTGATCCAGAATATCTAGTTGATGGGAATGCTAAAATGCAATTACAAAAACTATGTTGTATCTTCATTATAAGACACAGTGCTATTTCCACTGACTAATATATAAACCAGCTAAGCAGGAGAGTATTGTATTGTTAGTAGACTGAAGGCTAATGGCATCACTTGCTGTAAGAATTTTTTTTCTTTAAAAACAAAACAAAACTAGTTTTCAACAGCAAAATAAAATTAGGTGCATTGCCCATTGCCTTTGCATTGTATTCCCTACATTTAAGTTTGTTCTTCTTAATTTCCATCTAGACCTTTACTCAAATCTTACCAACAAGCTTATGGGAATCTCCACACTTAATGTTTCTTTCTTTTCAGAAGATGTATCCTTTTATTTGCCAAGGTCTCCAGTGCCATGTGCTAAACACCACACGTGGTTCATTAAAATTCTGGCACTGGCAAAAGAATGAAATGTTAAATATTGTTCAAAAGCTTTTTTTTAAGCATCCAAAATGCTAAACACCTGCCAGCAATGTCTGATTCTTTCTTATTTTTTAAATCATTCAATTCAAATTGTCAGACTAAATATATAATAATAGAGAAACTGAAACTTGAAGAAGGTGGGGGAGGGAGAGAGAGAGAGAACAGTAACTGTCAGTTGCAGTAGATGTTGATGTAATGCTGCCTGCCTATCATTTTCCAAAGTCATTTATTCAATACCTTACATAATGAAAATCTTATAAACTTTTCTTTTTCTTAAATTGAAGTAAGGAGGAAAACAAGAACAATGAAGATCAAATCCATCCGCTTCAAGTTTTTCTCCCTCTTTTCCACCTGCACATATATATTAAGCATGTGTTTGGAAATTTCATTTTGGCATCTGCTGTCTAATCTTGTAAGAGGGTTTGCCCAGAAGTGGGCTATATTGAGTGCTAATATAAATACTCATGTAAAGTAAATTACAGGTCATTATAGAATTACATAGTGCAGTCAAATACCATTGTAAATCCAGTTTGTTCTTCAAAGACTAATACAATATGTATTTGTAGGGTCATTTAACAAAGCACATATTCTTGTTTCCTCACATGAACATACACTATTCTCCGGTAACTCTTGGCAATTTTATGCATTAGCAAAACAATCAAGTCATCAACTTCACAATCAGCTCATATAATGCAGTGTTATACAGATTTTAATTGTTGGCTTGTCTTGCTCAACACTCTGTTCTGAGTAGCATATTTTCAACAACTTCAACCAAGGTGTTTCCTGTAATGCAAATTTTTTACATTATGGAGAATTGCTGGAAAATAGACTTTGGACTATGCCCTAATAATCAGATGCATTTTTATAACTACAGAATTGGGGGACCTTTTTCATTTTGAGGTTGTTATTGCTATAGGGAAGAAGTGCCAGGGACTGTATGCTGGCTGTTGGGAGAGTCCAGATCCAGCAGGAGCAGAAGAGGAATGTGTACAGCTTTTGGATTCAGCTATAACCCCAGAAGACCCACTCCCTGAAACAGAAAGAAATTGCTGCTCTCATATACTTGTTCCTTAGCAGTGTTTCATCAAGGACCAGCTGCTCTTTAGATATTATTTTGAAGGAATCTTCCAAGTAACATTGTGAGGTGGCCACGTTGACTGTCCACAAGTACTACAGATACCTCATGTGTACATCATTCTGAGGTCCATTTCATAACAGTGACTATAGGAAAACTAGTAGGATAATAAACCATTCCCAAGATCACTTGTCTTAGACCAGAAGTGAGAAACTATGGTCCTTTATGGCTGGCTCAGAAATTTTGGGAGTTGAAGTCCACAAATTAAAAAAAAGGCCATAGTTCCCTACTCCTAACTTAGACAAAATGAAAGGACTGCTATGGGGAGCCAGTTGAGAGAACAGGAAGTGGGAAGTAGGTTTTGCCCATCTGCAGCTTCAAATATCTGCTTCATTTCATGCAGTGATGGAGTTGGCCTTGTTCAACTGCACTTTTCTGCTCCATCAGTTCTGTGTTTATGAGACAATTATATTCACACAACAGTCTTTTTTTCAGGAAATGTGTAAAGTATGAACTTTAGACACATGTTCTTAGTCATTTGAATATGTATATCAGGGTTTTATAATATTTGTGTGAGTACTGCGCCTTCAGCATTACTGGACAAGATTAATGGAATCTGCAGAGGCAGATTTCGTTTTTACTTCAATATAAATTTGCTGGGAATATGAGACGGTATATTCAGACATCTCCACCAAACCTCTTTGTTAATCTCTTCCGTACCAGAAGAATTGTTAGTTTACGATGTTCCATAGGTTCCATATTCTGCACTAGAATAGCCATGGGTTGCTCACTGGTATATTTAAGGATGCCTGTTCACTATAAGAAATACTAGGAAAACTATGATAAAATAACTTAAGGCAGAACAGTTAGAGTATATCAAAAAGATTGCTAGAAAACTATCCAAATATTCAAGAAAATTGAACCCTAACTAGATGCAAGGCTTATATTAACTCACCAAGGATGAAGTTGTTCTCATTTCTGCCAGGTTTGATTTTTGAACTGTTAGGTGGGCAAGATCTGGGGCAAGTAATGGGAGCTCACTCTGTTGCGCAGAGCTTGGGTCTTGAACCAGGGCTGTCAGCTCTCCAGCAGACAAGCTCAGTTTCTTTAATCACTGAGCCATTGTGCCCCAAGACAGACAGATGTAGATATAGATGTATGTATATAAATACACACACATATAACTCTTTTACAAGCCAGCAGTCTTTTACTATTTTATTTTAGCCGCTTGCATATCAACACAGGAACACCACATAGAAATCTAGTTGATGCTGGATATGCATAGACACACACATACACATACACTTGCATGTACTTAGTCATCCATAAGCTAATTGATAGTTAAACTGTTGTAGATTGGCGAACCAATTGGCTTGTAGGAAATATCAGACCAGGTATAGAAGTGTCCAAAATTTTCTGTCTCAAAGATTAGTGGAAGATGTTACATCAGATACCTTCATTTAACCTGATCTATCTAACAGATGATTCAGAATATAAAAGGGGGGAAACTGTGTTCAGCACTTGGAACTCTTCATAGGACAATTGGTTAAAAATGAAATTAAAAATAAGTACAGAAATGTCCACTAAAATGGTTATTGAAACAACTCATATATTTAAATAACTTATGCAACTATGCATCACTATTTTAAGCTATTAAATTCTCATTTACAGTCTTAATGTTTTTTTAGAAAAACTGCAATTTCAATAGTTGTTTTTGTTCACCTCACTAAATTTACATAGACAATTGATTTTTCAGTGAAATGTGATAGTTGAACTGTCTGAAATATATTTTTATTTAAATTTGCCATTTCAAAAATCCTAGCATATATGTAATTTGCCCTTTTGTCAGAGGCAATGTGTATGTTACAGTTCAGTTCAACTCCCCTCCCCCTAAAAATACTCCTATTGTATTATATATTTTAAACAGTTCTATTTTAACTGTTTAAGCAGGAAATATTTTAATGGAATTCACTTACATTTTTTAATGTTCATATGTTTGCAAAATAACACTGATAGTAGAAAGCATTTTCTACTCCTATGTGATTAACAATCTGTACCCCCAGAATTAAATTTTATATTATTTCAAAAATATTTGTTTTAAAGTCAGTATGAGTATAAAGCAACTATAGGCAATAATTATTTGTATACTTACTCAAGAGTAGAATCCACTGAAAACAGTTGGACATAGTTCCAGGTAACCATGAGTGCAGTTGTCTGCATCGTAACCTTTAACATTTGACTGAAATAATAGGAAATTAATTTAAAGTAAGCTTTGTAGTTAAGGCTGTGTAGTATTTTAGATTTGATTGGGGAAAATTGCTTCAGAATAAGCCAGAGCAGTACATTTAGTCACAATTAAAGTAGCCATATTTGTTTGCAGAATTGCGCAATTGTGGTAGAAATGTTCCCTCAGTAGTCATGTCATCCTGGAAGAAATCAAAACTGTTTTAATGAGTTGCTTCAAAATATTCCTAACCAAATCTAAAGCATTGCACAACCAACTTTATAGTGTAAAGTTTATATTGAATTAGTCTCTTTAAAATTTTTGAAGTTAACTGAAAATGTAGCTGAATAAATGCTATTTTTGTGCTTAAATTACAATCCCTAGTAGTGTTATCCTGTGCAATCCTACTCAAAAATGTGAGTCCCAGAATAAGAGACTTATTCTCAGGTATGTAGGATTGTACGCACAATAAGTATGTTTATGTTGGTTTAGGATAGAGAGCTTAATCATTGATGTTGATGGTTCTATATAGTACTGCAGTAATTGATATTTTTTAACAGTGTCGACGAAGTGTATTAAGGAGATAAGTATTTAAATTCCAATGAATGTTAGATGCATGAAATCAAAGTTATGTATTTATGCAAGATATACAGAAAACAAGCAGGGACTTTTTCTCCCATAAATGTCAGAAGAAAGATTGATGGGATTTGTTGCCTCAGTAATTGGCCATTGGCTTCAGGGGCTTTAGAACAATATTAGACAGATCCATGTGAGAGGATTTGTCTAATTGAGAGGAACACTTATGTTCTGGGTAATTACAGCAGTATACAGGTGGCTTTGAAGGTAACGTACTGGCCACTACAAATGCCAGAATTAAACACTTTCATTTAACAAAACTTAACTTTTCTTTTGATGTTAGAAATAATTTGATAATTAAAAGATTGATGTTACCATTGTGTTGTTTTTCAGGTAAAGATGAACCCAGCAGTTACACGTGTACAACATGTAAACAGCCATTCAACAGCGCCTGGTTTCTCTTGCAACATGCACAGAACACTCATGGATTAAGAATCTACTTAGAAAGTGAACATGGAAGTCCTCTGACACCCCGGGTTGGTATCCCATCAGGACTAGGTGCAGAATGCCCTTCTCAGCCACCACTCCATGGGATTCACATTGCAGACAATAATCCTTTTAATCTTCTTAGAATACCTGGGTCAGTCGCGAGAGAAGCATCAGGTCTTGGAGAAGGGCGTTTCCCTCCCACACCTCCTTTGTTTAGTCCCCCTCCAAGACATCATTTGGATCCACATCGCATAGAACGCCTAGGTGCTGAAGAAATGGCTCTTGCAACCCATCACCCCAGTGCCTTCGACAGGGTGCTGCGACTCAACCCTATGGCCATGGAGCCTCCAGCTATGGATTTCTCCAGGCGGCTTAGGGAGTTAGCTGGAAACACCTCTAGTCCACCATTGTCACCGAACCGGCCCAGCCCTATGCAAAGGTTACTACAACCATTCCAGCCAGGCAGCAAGCCACCATTTCTGGCAACACCTCCTCTTCCTCCTCTTCAGTCTGCTCCTCCTCCTTCTCAGCCTCCTATCAAATCCAAGTCCTGTGAATTTTGTGGGAAAACCTTTAAATTTCAGAGCAACTTAGTTGTCCATCGTAGAAGCCACACTGGAGAAAAACCCTACAAGTGCAACCTTTGTGATCATGCATGCACTCAAGCAAGCAAGTTAAAACGCCACATGAAAACACACATGCACAAATCCTCTCCAATGACTGTGAAGTCAGATGATGGCCTCTCTACAGCCAGTTCCCCAGAGCCCGGAACCAGTGACCTTGTTGGCAGTGCTAGCAGTGCCCTCAAATCTGTGGTGGCTAAGTTTAAAAGTGAGAATGATTCCAATATTATTCCAGAAAATGGGGATGAAGAAGAGGAAGAAGAGGAGGAGGAGGAAGAAGAGGAGGAAGAAGAAGAGGAGGAGGATTTGACTGAAAATGAAAGGCCAGACTATGGGTTTGGCATCAATCTAGAAGCAGCTCGGCACCATGAAAACAATTCCCGGTCTATTGAGGAGAATCGTTCTATCCCGGATGTCATGCAAGGGATGGTCCTGAGTTCCATGCAGCACTTCAGTGAGGCTTTCCATCAGGTTCTTGGTGAGAAACATAAACGAGGGCACTTATCTGAATCTGAGGTGCATAGAGATACATGTGATGAAGACTCAGTAGCTGGTGAATCTGATCGCATCGATGATGGTGCTATTAATGGTCGGGGGTGTTCCCCTGGTGAATCTGCCTCCGGAGGTTTGTCCAAAAAGCTGCTCTTGGGTAGCCCAAGCTCCCTAAGTCCTTTTTCTAAACGCATCAAACTTGAGAAGGAGTTTGACCTTCCCACGACAGCTATGCCTAACACTGAAAATGTTTACTCCCAGTGGCTAGCTGGGTATGCTGCTTCTCGGCAGCTAAAAGATCCATTCCTCAACTTTGGAGACTCCCGACAATCGCCTTTTGCTTCCTCCTCAGAACACTCCTCTGAAAATGGAAGTTTACGCTTCTCGACGCCTCCCGGGGAGATGGATGGAGGGATATCAGGCCGCAGCGGTACAGGAAGTGGAGGGAGCACCCCGCATATTAGTGGTCCAGGCCCTGGAAGGCCTAGTTCAAAAGAGGGCAGACGCAGCGACACTTGTGAGTACTGTGGGAAAGTCTTCAAGAACTGTAGTAACCTCACTGTCCACAGGAGAAGCCACACTGGGGAAAGGCCTTATAAATGTGAGCTGTGTAACTACGCCTGCGCCCAGAGTAGCAAACTCACCAGGCACATGAAAACGCATGGTCAGGTGGGGAAGGACGTTTACAAATGTGAAATTTGTAAGATGCCTTTTAGCGTGTACAGTACCCTGGAAAAACACATGAAAAAATGGCACAGTGATCGAGTCTTGAATAATGACATAAAAACTGAATAGAGGTATATTAACTTGACCCCTTCTCCTTCCTTCCCCCAATTTATTCCTGGCCCCCGTGTAGAGATTTTCTAGTCCCTTGTGAGTAAAATATTGGAAGCTAAGAATGATATTAAGAAAGTGCTTGTCACCAGCACACCTGTTTTCATCTTCCTTTTTGTTTTGTTTCTTTTCCCTTTCTTTTCTGTTTTCATCATTTGAATGCATGATCTGTATTGGGGCAATACTACGCAAACTTTGAGCCTTTCTCTTGTGCAATAATTTACATGTTGTGTATGTTTATTGATTTTTTTAAAAATTAGACAGCATGTATGGTATGTTATGACTGTTGTTTTTTTAAAAAAAAAATGTCCCCAAATTCTTTGCTGAGCAAACAGACAAAAAGACCTTTCATACACATGCACAGCACCATGGCTGTTTCCAGTGATGTTCCAGAAAGAGAGAAAAGTAAAACAAGTATTTTTAAACAACCAACCATGCTGCATACATTCTGTAATATATCATATCCATGTTTGTGTTTTAACAGATAAATGAAAATGTGCTTTGAATTAACCCTTTATGGATAGACAGATAGGACTGAAAAGGAAAATATTCCTTGTTACTTTGATTTCTGTCTTTAAAAACATTGACAATTTCAGTTAATTTTTGGTAGGGAGATAAGTCTTTAATTGAAAAATGAGGAAATGAGAGCAAAAAGATAAATGTGTACTATCATTTGGTTTAAAATAGAAATCTGAGTGCCTTGAATATATTTAAGCCATGTTGGTGGCAACTACTTGTTCTAAACTTGTAGGACAACTTTCGCACTGGGCAATGTAAATGAGTCCTTTAGGACCTAGCCGATAACTCTGTATTATATTTTCAGAACAGTGGCTACCTAAAAACAAAAACAAAGAAACCCAACAAATCCTCGTTAATCATCATTCGATCCCCTCCTCAGCCCACCTTTTTTTTTAAAAAAAAATGAGTGATCATAGAACTGAAGTTTATTTTGCTCTAGGAGAGTTTAAAACAATCATCTTAATCATAGAGAATGCTTCTCTCTCAGGTTAAAATATTATTAACCTGTATCAGTCCCTTCCCTTATCCTTCTCTTCCCCCTCATTTCCATTTTAAAATTATTTTATTGATAAAAAGAATGTGACTTGTGCAGAAGGCCTTGGAAGATGATTAAGTATGTGAGAAAGAAAATTCATGTTATAAAGATTTTTTTAAAAATCTCTTAGTGATCCTACACAAAATAAAACTTAATAGTAAAAACAGAAACTATTAAGTGCAGGTCTAGATGGTTGTCAACTTGACAATCAAATTAATAATGCACAAACGTGTGTATCATATATTTATCTATGATTTCCCTCTATACAAGGAAAGGTGTATAAACAGTCTGGCAATAATATTTTACTGATGTGTAAAAATATAGTGATTTATTAGCACTGTTTGCCATTTAAAATTAAGAACAGGTTATAAGCTAATATTGATATGATGATTAACTATGAGCTATTAAGATTTGCCTTGATGTGTGACATTCTGAGAGAGAGAGAAAATAGTCGTGCTCCCTAAAAGTTGTTCTTCATGTTGTTTCTTTTTTAATCATATGCTATGTGCTAGTTATATTGACAAGAAAAAAGGATTCATTACTTTTATGATTAAGCTAGCATCTGCCCCGCTGGAAGTTCACATAGCACTTGACTCTGCCTGTCGTGTCTGTATTGTTTCTTTTAATCAGAGGTACACAGGTTGAGTATAAAAAACTTTTTTAAGACTGCTCAGATAGGACAATTTAAATGCACTGTACAATTTTCCCAGTTTACAGGTCTATACTTTAAAGGGAAAAATTGCAAGATTAATGATTTTTTCAATGAGCATGATCTCATGATAAACATATAAATAATTCTGCCAGCTTGCCATTTTACTTGATTAATGAGTGGGACATAACATGGCGCTGTAAATGGGAACAAGTCCTGCAGTTATGTAAAAAAAAAAAAAAAAAAAAAAAAAACAGAGAGATTGGTCTCCTACAGTGCAAAGAAGTGGTTATTTTGTACAAAACTTTTAAAAATATAAATGTTATGATTTTTTAAAAAAATTCATTATGTTTAGGGGAAAATGTATTTTAGGATTCATTGTCTTGGTGGTATACAAGACCTGTTCTTCCTTGAAAACCAATAGTTAAAAAAATCCTATGCCTTGGATATACACACAACATTTCAGGTTGTAAAATAAATACAATGGGAAAAGGTTTAACAATATATAGTACTTAAATATAGGAATATGCACACTCCTATGCTAAGAAGAGGAAAAGCAAACAAATGGAAAAGAAGAAAAACACATTTATGGTCTCTTTTTTTCTGTAATTTTTAGAATGGTATTTGAATTTAATGTTCACCTAGAGTAGTCACTATAGTATTTATAATGAAGCTTGTATTTTTAACTGTTGCTTGTTTCTCTTTTTTTAAAAAAAGGGTATCAGTTACCTTTTTTGGTAGTGGAAAAACACATACACACAAACAAAAAACAAATAGGCTGCCACAGTATATTTTTTTTTAATTTGGCAGGATAATATAATGCAAAATATTTGTATGTTTCAAAAAATAACGACAAGAAAAGTGTGACATTGTACAGATAGGCCATATAATGGCTATTTTGGGGGAGGGGGGACAAAAACCTGTTTGAATGTCTCACTAAATTAGCATCTCTGATGGTTGTACATATCAAAGTTCTTTTGGGGTTTCTTTGTTTTTTGCTGCCATATTGTATGCAGTAATGCAAGGTGATGATGTTGGTTTGTTCTGTAGTGTGCTCTTTGGTCCCTTTTCTTCTCTTACCCTTTTACATTCCAGCATCTTAAACTTCATATGCAGTAAAAGAAAAAAAAATTAAAAAATAGAATGAAAGGAAAAAATAAAGTTTTGCAGGCTTTTTTTTCCATTGCCAAAAAGAAAAATAAATTAAAATGGTGCTTTATATATTTAGATTGGAAAGAATTTCATATGCAAAGCATATTAAAGAAAGAGAGAGAGAGAGAGAGCGCCCCGCTGGAGTCGATAACTTTTTTGTATATGGCAATGCAAAATATTTTGTTATTATCAACCTTTTCTATTCCTGTCATGAAAGCTGTTTGTCGTAACCTGAAATTTTATCTTTTACTATGGAAGTCACTATTTATTATTGCTTACACGCTCTGTTGAGAACAGTGGCGTCAGATTTGATCTTTGTTTTTGTTTTTTATTATTTAGATGACCAAAGGTCATTGACAACCTGGCTTTTTATTGTATTTTTTTTTCTTTGTCTTTGTTAAGTTCTATTGGGAAAACCACTGTTTGTGTTTTGGGAGGGAGAATCTTTTTTTAATTGGGCAGTTGTCTGCATTACCCTGTTCATTCACCCATTTTGTCCCTAAACTGAAAAAAATAAAAAAAAAATTGCTTAAAGTACATACCATAAGCTTTGCGTATCCTCATTTGACACACACTGTAAATTTCCCTCAGTGAGATAGAAGCCCAGTGGGTTTTCTTCACAGGGCATTTTAATATATTACTAACCTAAAGACCCAGAAAGCTCCCTATTTATACTACAATAAAATATTTTGCCCCTGAGGAAATGCTTCTTTGGTTTTATATTGAGATGATTTTAAAAAAAATGAGGAAAACTTTATTTTATTTTCCATCTAGATGTTTTCCTTCTCTCCTTTCTGATTTTTCTAAGAATGCATAGGTAAAGACTAAAAGGTGAGCAGGTTGGTGAAGCTCATATTTGTCTGTGAGAGGGGCTATCGTTTTGGCCACTCCCATACCCTTTCTGTTTTGCACTGTTGCATACAATCACTAACATACCGAGTTATAAAATGATATGCAACCCTGCTTGGTGACCTTCCATAATTCCCTCCTCTTTCCCAACTTTAAAATCAACTAAAGATCCATGTGATATGAATTGGAAATATGTGGTCTCTGCTGTGCAGTCTAATATAGTAAAGGCAGAAACATTTTAAGGATGCACATCGAAACATACTGGGGTGCGCATTATAAATCCCCCAAGTTTGCATCTTCCAGACTTCAACATATTGGGAAATTGCTTTGTGATACTTTGTCCAATCGGAAAACAGACTGGGATAGGAGCTGCTGTTTTTATATAGTCTGTACAGTTGATAGGTTTTATCAATACACTCTGTGTGTGTGTGTGTGTGTGTGTGTGTGTGTGTGTGTGTATTGTCTTTAAATTGACATATATATATATAGTATATAAGTTTTACAAATACTGCATGTTGCAGCATCAATTAAAAACATATACCTCTGTATACCATCTGTTGCTCTACCTATACAAATCTCTTGTGTATTTTTTTGTTTAAATTTTATTTTAAAGTTTACATTGATGTCAGTTCATTAGCAATTTGGTATTAGTTTCAATCCTTGAGATGCTGGTTTTTAAAATAACTATTAAAAATAATTTCCCTAAAGTTCACACTAGGGATTTTTCATGGGTTGATTTAAAACTGCCCATGACCTATGCTTAAAGAACTTTTAAAAAGTCTTAATGTCCCAACTCAGTTGCATTTTGGCAGGTATCACTCTGCTATCAAGCTTATTTATTTATTTATTTATGAGACTTATATACCGCTTTAAGTGCAAGCACTCTCTAAGCGGTGTATACCAGTAAGCAATGTATATATATATTTACATTGCCCCCAACAATCTGGGTCCTCATTTACCTACCCCGGAAGGATGGAAGGCTGAGTCAACCTTGAGCCGGTGAGATTTGAACCGCTGACCTGCTGAACACAGTCAGCTAAAGTGGCCTGCAGTACTGCACTCTAACTGCTGCGCCACCTCAGCTGTTCAAATAACACCAATGAGCAGCATAACATCAAAAACTGGGATTCCTCCATTCTAGGATTCCGAAGTATAAAATAGTTTGCCAACTATTATATTTCTTTTCTGATTTGTGCTGCTTCAGGGAGCCCAGTAGCATAGAATGTAAGACTACAGTGTTGAAACAAGGTTTGTGTGTCTCTCTGTGTGTACACACAGACACATACCCATACATGCATACACTCACATATACAAATAGGGCATATACACAGACCTGCCAGACATATACATCTGCCAGAGAGACATAAGTTTAATACAGAGAAATCAGTTCATGCTGAAATTATCCATCAAAAATCCAGCCATATACAAATTCTTTTAGCTTTGAATACATAAGCATGTGGATCTAAGACTCTATGGACTTGTGAGGTGTACATGAACCTTGCTGTTCTTTGCTGGGAAAATAGAGTTCTTAATTCTATTTTTGGTATAGCATGTTCCCCTAACATAGAAGAGGATGAGAGAGGTTTTATTTCTATTAATTCAGAGACTGCATTAATGATGATGAAAATTATTATTATTTTCACATCCTGGTGATTCACAGGATGGGCTGATCTTGTCATCTTATGGCAGAATAGGACTGAATTAAAAAGGGTTTACATAAAACTGATAATTGTATGAGTTTCAATTAAGGACTTTACCTCTTACAGTTCCAGCTAAATTAGTTTTAGAAATCCATATGAACACTGCAGGCGTGTACTGGAATAATTATATACAGGCTTCAGAAGTTGTGAGAACTGAGAAAGGTTGTTGCTTGCAGAAGTACAGAAGAATTACATACATATTTTGTTACATCTCAGTGAAAATTAGTTAATACCTCTGTTGCTTCCCTTAACATGCTCAACTACCAATTTTTTAAGGTAGGTTCTAGTATATGCTAATGTAAATCACGAGGGATGGCTTAGCACATTATTGTTATTTCATAAACCATAGTTGAGCAAACCATACTCGTCTTCCAGTATCTTAGTTATCTGCTGCTCATTCTCTCTCTTCAAATTTTAACTTTTTTCTAGTGTTCCTTTCAGTTCCCCCATTTCCTAAATTTGATTGATCTTTCTATTCTCAATTTCAATATACCCTCATTGCCATTTTAGGGTGGAAGGCTAAGCTTTTCTAATTTCATGTTATCTTGTTTTTTTCCCCTCACCTTCACAGCATGATAGTTTAAGGTTGATTAGAGTATGTTAGAGAAGTAAATAAAATTGAGCTATTGATTCAAAATTTGAACATATATTATAGAAATTATAGAAATGAAGGACGCTTTTGATGATGTCAACAAGAGTCACCAGAGCAGTCCCTTCTGTATTAGCTTGCTGGCTGCTTTGACAAGCAGGATCTGAAAAATAATTTTTCTAGGAAGGTGATACTAAACTGAAGCCATGAATTTTCCTGTTCCTACTTTTCCTTTTCTGATCTGGCAAGCAAACATCATTAGTTCTGCACAAAATTCTTCACAAATACTTGTAGTATCCTAAGACACTTTGGAGCTGCTAAATCTTATGTCATGCAGTTAGAAGCACTGCTTAGAGCAGTGGTGGCGAACCTATGGCACGGGTGCCAGATGCGGCACTCAGAACCCTCTCTGTGGGCATGCGTGCCGTCGCCCCAGTCCTACACCTTCAGCTGGGTTTTATAAAACTTTTTTGCTTTAGGCCTCCGCCGCCATGTGCAAAGAAAAAAAAAGGTTCAATCAGTCAATTTCAACTTCTCACGGGAAAAAAAAGGTCTTGCAAAGATGGAATTGATTGAACTTTTTAGTCCCACCCAGTCTGCTGTTACCACCACAGCTATGCCCAGCCAATGGGCCACGCCCAGCCAATGGGCCACACCCACCCGGCACTTGACAATGCATAAATGGGTTTTGGGTTGCAGTTTGGGCACTCAGTCTCTAAAAGGTTCGCCATCACTGGCTTAGAGGATTAATAACAAGCATAAATTCCTGATATATTTTTTTATCATATATTATTTAGTTTTAATTCTTACATTAATTAAAACATGTTCAAAGCTGTACTAACCTTTAAAAAAATTAAAATGCTCTTATTTACTACAACCACTATTTTAATTCTTTTTCAAGGTCTTCAAGTGGGAAGTGGTCAATATAATGCTCACCAGCAACTATTGACAACCCTAGTTCCTGGCCAAATTATCTGAATTAAAAGTAACTCAGCAAACGAATCAGAACAATATCTTCATGCACTGTGTATCTTCCCAACCATTAAACATTGATACAGACTGAGGGCAAAATAGGCATAAGGTGACAGTTTTGATTGACATAGTAAATTGTACTAAGTAACAGTGTTTACACAGGGAAGCCAATTCCCCAAACCAGGGTATTGTTTAATCACTGATAATAATAATGGTTCTCCATCAATTCGTCTTCAACCCCTACAGGTTTTCAGAAATGTATCCTATACTCTCAACTAATCTGGGTTCAAGGTATCCCATTCACTTCCTATTGCTGGATTATTGGGCTTCTGGCTGATTATAGCCTGTCTGATTTTCTTACCTATCCAGCTTCTTATACTTTGATTTCTCTTCCCATATTAATTTTGTCTTTTCTAATTGGTACTTTACATTTAAATTCCTAAAACCATTTTAGATGCCCCAAAAGTAACTCTAGTTACTAGTTTTTCTTGCTTTTCTCACATCAAGCCAATCAACCTCTATTCTTCCTCATATATCTAACTTTCAAAGTTATACACATTTTATAACCTTAAAATCGCTGGGGTAATATTTCTTCCAGTTATCTTGCCATTATTTTAGATCAAGTCTATTGAATTTTTCTCCTCTATTAGGACAACTTTCAATAGTTTTATTTTTCCCTAACTTCTAGAACGATGTATAATTTTGTGATCTCTTCACCTTATTAACATTTTCAGACTTTATTTTTCATGTCTACTTTTGCAGCAGACTCTTAAGATTTATCTAAGTTTGTACTTCCATCTGTATCATTAATGCAGAATTAACCCAGTTCTGTGATCCAAACAAATAATATAGATTTGACCTAAACATGGGTATAGAAAACATTAGGCCTTAGGTTAGTCTCTATTCTGATTAAGACATCTTTTGCAGGATTTGGGGTGGGAATATCTTTATTAACTCTTTTCAAATGTTGTCCACAAAAGTTCTTTCTAGGATATATATGTGATATGTTGAATCATCAACTCATGTTCCTGCATTGCCCTACGGTGCTTGTTCCTGCATTATGTGTTACATCATGCATTTGATAGGACATATGAATCTTCCACACTATTCATTAAAGACTATTCAAAATCTTTATTCCAAAAATGTTGGAAAAATGTTTTTGTATCCTTTTGGCTTCCAGCACAATTTGCCTTAAATCTTGCAGATCACACAGACCTTTAGAAACTTGGGGATAAGCAACAAAGGAGAAAATGATGAAGAAGTAAGGAAGGATTAAAAATTGGGAGTAATTGCATGTGATTTATTTTATGGAGTTAAGCCTTCTGCTAGCTTAATTGTTATGATGGTGTTAAGGTAAGCCTGATGAATTTGAAACTGACAAGACCAGAAACTTTCAGATGACTGGAAAACCAGTGGATTGGACCATTAAAAATGAAGACGTGGATATGGTGACCTGCTTGCTCTTTTAGCCTTGCAAAGAAGTTTACAAATGTTTCTAGATCTGCTTATATTTTTTTCCTGTATTATTTATTTATTTATAGCTTACTGAGAGCAAGAAGAAAAGAGACTGGAAACTAATAGTGCTGCAATTTACCCATGTTTGGTGGATTAGTCATTTAGTGAACTGTATGAAAACTATTAGGGAATGTATGTGACTGGCTGTCTATTAACCTGGGCTTTACAAAATAGGTAGGTAATATTGTGTGTAATCCTGATATGGAAATAGGCCTTTACTGCAACACCAGATTAGTGCAAGAGTAACATCCTGTTTTCCTTCACTACATATATAAGGTATGTTAGTACAATCTCCTTGCAGAATTTAATTTAGATATTAATTTCCTTACTTTAAAGGGAGAACGGTTGGTCAGGTTTCAGTATGAAATATCTGTCTCAGTTTTTACCACAAACCATGTATTTTCTTCACCTCATAAAGAAAATAATCAGTGCTAGCAGATTACTGAAATCAAAATGGCAATGCTGTTTGAAGACTTCAGTACTAATCAGTTCAGTTACTATTTTTAGTGCTAGTATTAAACATTTCAAAATGCATATCCTGTTGTACTGGCTTTTATGAATGTCTGTAAAGATTTTAGAAATCTTTTCATTGGTCATCTGCTGTGAAACAGCCATTATTTCAGTTTCCATTACCTTGAACATTGCATATGTACAGAATGATACAGAAAACTGTCAAACTGTATGTCTTGTCTTCATTTCTCGGGCTAATTGATGTATGTATGTATA